TGACGTTTGTATGTTCATCCCCACGGCAAACCACCCCTTCACCCTTCCCCTGTGAATCACACTGATCCGTCGGACATTTTTGTGGCGAAACAAACAAGATGTTTCTGCAAATCTTTTGAGCGAAACAAACCATCGAAAAATAGAACTCCGCTGGAAGCATTCATGTCCGCTTGTGCAAACGTAAACGGGCGTGGCAGGGGAAACACGAAAGTTGCACAAGTACTCTTTGTGATCAAATTTTTAAAAAGCACTGACTCACTGCAAACAGAGATCACATTCTCCAAATAGTAAGCTAGTCTTTCTTGACCGTTTGTTCTGTCAGCTGAGTTGAGTCGAAGCCATTTTGGGAACCCTTCGGATAATGAATTTGCGATTAGTGTCTACCAGACTCTGCCGCTTTTCATTCTGATTTCAGTTCTATGAATTTTTCAAACTAGAGCCTGATTATCTTGTCGACTCGTATAGTGATGTGTACACCAATAACAGAAATATTCTATATACACTCGATGTAATAACTCTGAAAAGGTCTCATCTTCCAAGGTTTATTGCTTTTCAACGCTTTAACAAACGAGCACAATCACTGGTGGTCGAGAGATAAACATCTAACAATTAAGTTGTGTGACGGCAGAGGCAATTTTGAATCAGCCTGGTCACACGAGTTTTTCGAACTTTAATCAATTACCATGACGGCGGCAAGGCTAGGATTTTACTAATGATTTAATCGCATTCAAAGGGAAATCGAAACTCAAACGGTATAAAATCAGGTCTATCTTTCGAGGAGTGACAGTGCATTCAAGCGCCGTTCAGGAGAAATCCAGACTCATAGACTCGAATTCTAAATAAAGTATAAAATTACGAATCAACGTTTACCTTTGAAGTAACTGTTGGAAGAAGCGAAAAAATACTAACCGTTACGTGTGAAGCGCTTTCATCTGACAGGATCTGTGCGTCATCCTTAAGAAAATTGGTCGTACGTTGCATTGACATTCGTCAATAATTTACCCTTGCCGTTCTATTTTCTCTGTGTAAATGTTTGACTGCTTTTTCAACCTGCTATGGGAGTGACAGATCCGTTCCACCGTAAGTGGACTTGATTGGTCACGTTCACATCACGGGTTTCACTATTAAATAAGTTGTTTTATTTTACTCCCATATTTGCCTGCTTTCTTTAGGGAACTGGCACTATATTCTTAATAAGGTCCAAACTGATCACTTTCTTTTTCTCTTTTCCCGTGTTTCCTTGGATTGTTCAGACGCTCGTGACGCAGTATCACTTGCACGAAAGCGATGGCAAGCGAGAATCAGGTTCCCTTTCCGTCAGCTCACCCTCTAATCCCTAAAACCACCGCTTACAATTCACGTTGTCGAATGATGCATTGGTAACGACCTAAATTAATTTTAAGATTTTCACTCTTCGGAGAAACATAAAAAGCGGAAGGCCCAGAGTAAGGCGCACAAGTGAACCACCAGGGGCCACTTCTTCTCGAACACCGCACGCACCCATTCCTCTGCCATCAACAAGTATTGACCTTTCTCTGAATACAATACCTGTTACCTTCAGCTTGGTCTCCTGATCACCAATTTAACAAGCTCCTATTGTCAAATGAATTGTTCTCGTTATCATATAAGGGGGGCAAAATTACTGCATTGTGATTGATCAAGACAGAGGGCATATTTTCTTAATTTTTGTAATTGCCCCGGGCAAAATTACTTGAAAATGATTGGCTGAAAATCGCTTAGCAACGGCTGCCAAGGTAAAGAAATGTCTGTTTGTTTTGTAACAATGGCGTCCCGTTTTGCGCGCTATCAGCAAGAAAACATTTTGCCCCTTATATTATAGACAAGTAATTACATGGTTCCTCGTAAAATTAAGGATTAATAACACGCGTGATATTAATCCTTAATTTTACTCGGCCCCATGCGATTACCCATACTAATTCAAAGGCAATTTAAAAGTTCCAGAGTGGAGAAGACGGGGCGACGGGGTGTCAATTCGATAATTGACCCTCATTCCAGCGAACAAAGTACAAGCAAAGCGTAAAGGACTCAAAAAAAAAAATTCTACGCAGAATATAAAAAGCACCATGTATATTTCAACCAAAAACTCTTTACTCTTTCGCTACTAAGTCAGTCAAATCATAAACTACTGCACATACTCTCAAATTCCCGAACATGGTGTGTCTTTTTAAAACAAGCCTATTTAGCCTAGTTTCTTATTTTTGATTTATGGGGAAAAAAAATTGAAAATTGCGTTTCTGTTCACACCCAAAGGCTAACAGGATCTTAAGAAGATCAAAAGCAAAACACCACACTGGTGGTTACAATAATAATAATAATGCTAATAATAATCATCACCATAAATAATCATAAATTAATAATAACAATAATAATTGCTACAATAATGACGATAAATCAACAAAATTCGACAAAAGTGGAGAAAACTCGCAGACACAGAAAATCGATTGGAAAATGATTTGCTTCACCACCATTCACAGACCCTTTGTTTACTCCTCATTTGATATTATTGTTTTGTTTCTGTTTTCTTCCACGATCTCAATTGTGGTGATACTCCATAAAGCAGGCGTAATTTTAGCGACTGCTCAGTATCTTTTTGGTAAAAATCATCGCTGCCATCGTTGACTTTTGCGGCAGCTGAACGCTGGGGAAAGAAAGAAATTTGTACAATGGGGATTTCAATCGAAAGGAAGAACAGGGAAAAATGTGGGGAAATGGAATTCTCCTACCCCCTTCCCCTGTCTTCCACTCCAACTCTAAAGTAAACATGGTCGGCCGAAGAAACGATCACGAGCTTGTAACGTTAACTTGCCCTGAGAGTTGAAAGACATTCAAGAAGCAAACCAAACCTAAATTAAAATTGAAGGGAAGAAAAGCATTTGCTCGATAAAGACAGCCTTCAGGGGTACTCAAACACGAAGTCAACAATAACGATTTTCGTATACACTGTTACGTGAGTTATTCACGCTTAAGTGCCGTACCAGTCAAGCTGTTTCCCTTCGATGTCACCCCCGTAATGATCTTTGAAGACTTAAAATTTCGCAAAATTATTTCGTCTTTTTCGCCTGCTGTTTGGAGTTGCCAGTAGTAGTTTAAGCGAAATTTCGGTACCAGTCTCAAGATAACAGAACAAAGGGGTTCAGAGTTAATAGCATGTTAATTACCAACCAGACCAGACCAGCCGCAAGCAGGAAGTGCTGCGAGAACCCCCGGAGAAGAATCCTCACAGTGGCCGCGTTGTAAAGATGAAAGACAAAGTTACAGTCTTGATGAGAAACATCCACCCTTCACGACAAAAATATCGAATAAATGTTACCTAAGTAAAAAACAATTTGGAGCAGCGTTTCAAAACACAATTCCCTATCCCTTTGATCTCCAGTTGAACCCACCCACCCTTTTTATTCACTACAAAACTACTTTCTGACGGCCCAAAATGGCAGCCTGGTAGCCCCCTGCCGGTTTCTGCCGACATCTCTATTTTGCTTGCCATCATTTCGGTTGTCGTCTGGGGAAAGACTTCCTCCTTCTTCATCTGACGAGTCACCGTCACCGTAAGCTACTAGAGAAGCTATTCCTGATGGGGAAGTCAATTCCTCCTCTGTCTTCGATATTTTTACAGCAGCTTCGGAAAGAGGCAAGGATGGGGCTTCTCGTTTACCTGTGGTCGGAGGAAAGACAGACCACAACACAAACCAAAAATGGTACAATTCAAGTAAAAGTAAAAATAGGAAGTTAGGTTACCAGCACCACAGAGTCCACAGCAATTCACATGAAACAAGAACAAAATTCAAATTACTATGACAATCAAAACAACATAACTTGCTGATGTTACTGTCATTTGTCTTCAAATAATACGTGGAGGTTGGGGTTGACTACACTCTATGGCCACAGAACAAAAAAAGAACCCCTAATCATTGATGGCATAAATCAACCACACATGCTACACGTAGTCCGTAACAAGTTAACCTCAATACCTCGGTGGGTTACCCTCACAATTTGCCTAGACTTACTTGTAACCTTGGGCGGAGCTAAACACTAACTATGAAACTGTCCTATGTTTGAGAACAGGAAACCCACAATCTATTGCGCTGACCATTGGGGCCAACTCTGCAATAAAAACCACAAGCCAGAACCTGAACTGCGAAGTGATTAGAAGAATGCAGACGACTGTGTTCTATAATAGGGCTGTCTCCCTCAGCTGAGAGTGAATCCTAAAACCCCGGATTGATACTCTACGAGGTAAGATGGGCTTATCCTTTTAGTTTGTTTGTTTGTTTCGCTAAAAAAAAAGCTGGATAATAGCCTATCTTGAGTTCACGTTCAGTCAAAAACACGTGTAACTAGTAAGAGTGGTAGTTAGGAACAGGACTTACCTGCTGGTCTACTGCGAGATGAAGAGGCTGCAGCAGCAGCAGCAGCAGGCACAACATCTTTAAGAGGCAGCGGAACAGCAAAGTCGTGGTGTCCAGGCTTTTCAGGCTTTTTCTTAATCACAGGTATGACTGGAGGAGGAGGAGGCATGAGCTCTGAAGATTGTTTTATGACGTCAACAGAGGCAGCTTCACCTAGATTTAAGATGGAGGAGTCCTAGAATAAAGTCATCAATCAGCAGACAGAGGGGGAAAAAAGAACAGACATGTTAGCATTGAAAGACATAAAGGAGGCTGCTGACTGACAAGAGAGAACACTAGCATTAGTATGGTAACAGAGTATTCTGCCTAGAGTACGAAATAATTTTCCCACCAAAATCTCGTGGGTGAAAGATAATGCCCCATCGCAATAAAGCAAAGTCAGTTGATTCAGTGTGAATTGGCTGAGGGTTATTGCTATGTCCCCGTTTCGAACTTGGGTCTTAAGCAAAGGAAAGCGTAGTTACAGGTACAGCACACTATTATGTTTAAGGTTACAAATCTCCTGGTTAGGGCGCTGGACCTGTAATCTGGTGGTCCCAGGTTCAAGCTCTCCACCCTGCTAATCACGGGATTTATTCTCGGTTTTCCTTTGTATATAGCGAGCTGGTCTGCCTCCGGCTAAATGCGATTTTCAAACTCTATGTTAAGTTTAAATGTTTGTTTCGATTTGTTTGTATTGGCCTAGGGGGAGTTGCAGTTAATGTAACATCATTGACCGGTCGCGTGCGATTTTTTTTAATATGAATCAGTATCACGTCTTTGCGATGGAATTTTGAACAAAATGTATAAAAGAAATATCGTGACTCTAAAAAACATCAAGAACAAGCCCAAAGCACCTGATGTCTTGGGCCACTCGTTGAACTCTGATCTTGAGCAGAAGAACCTTTAATCGGTATCTGAATTCGAGTTTGAACAAACATTGTGAAAAATCAAAGGGAAAAAGAAAGAGAGACAAATTGTTAGCAACTTTATATGACAACTTTGTAGGTAAGCTAAAATCTATTTCTGTATTATCAATGTGGCAAACGGTTAGACAAAGAAACGTTGAATGACATAATGTAATGCATGCCAAAGTGGCACATCACATTATCTGCACGAGCATGAAAAACGAAAAAAGCGCGTGTCCTAAAATGACTTCAGGTGATATACCTTCTCTTTGAACTTTCTTTTTGGTGGATCAAGAGGCTGTGCTGCTTCTCTTTGATATTTCTCTCCGTCTCTGCAGGTGAAAGGAGAAAGTAAAGTAAGGCTACATTTAGGCGTGGGGAATGCTTGTAGTACAAGTAAGGTAACACAATGTATGGGAAACTTAGTCTTAGGGAGGTGGAAGTACTATGTAGTTATTGACTGAGTGGGAGGGCCGAACGGGAAAGTATTTGGCTCTAGATCGTGACGCACGGACCAAGTACAGCAAGGTCCGTGCGTCATGTCCGAGGGCCAATTATTTTCTCATTCGGCCTGACCAAGCTCAGTCAGTAAGCATTTTGTCATATGGACACTGAGTGTTGAAAATCTCGAAAAACTTTGTTTCAACCTAAATATAGGACTGGTTCACGTCAACCAGTCCGACCTAACACATCAGCTTTCACCGTGGTTTTCTATGGGATTGCCCGCGCGGCGGTAAGGGTAGAAGAAAAAATAGTTCAATTAAAATGCAACGATACCCTTTAGATGATGAGGTTGGTTCTCCAGGTTGATATTCGTTTTCTCTTGGAGGAGGCTAAAGAGAAAAAATTGTTCAAAATGGTTACGGTAACATTGCTAAACGCAAAGAATACACCAAGTTAACTCATTTTGTTTTGTTTTCAAAGTTCGTTTTTCATTCTATAATCACAAGGAACATGTAGCGTGAGAGTTGTTTAGAGTGTCTGGAGGCAATTGGAAATAGCTCACAATCAACCAATGCCTAAAATATGCTTTACATTGTACTCCACTTCATCTATCGCTTGCGCCGGGCGTTCAGTCAGTAAAGCGGAGCGCAATAATAAATGGCGCGGAAGCAGTGGCGGAGCGAAAAAACAAGACAGGTAAGTTTGGATTGGGTTGGATAGTGCCCAGGCCTCTCTTGTTTGTTGTTGTTTATTCAGTTTAATCTAAATAGTAAAACATCATGTCAACTCGGTCGATATCTTGATGGCAAGCTTACTCAATACCTACATGTAGCGATTAAGCGTATGTTGAATGTCCCTGATGTACTGAATTATGTGTTAGATCTCAACATTTTAGAATAACCTCTGATATCTTGGTTGGCAGACCCTAAATCTAGTATAATTACTTTAATACAAACCTGGACAGGATCATGAGTTGGGTGCTGAAAAGAGGCATCTGGCTGAGGCGCAAATGAGGATGGTCCAACAGGAGGGGCTTCAAAGGGAGGAGGAACAGGAGGAAAGCCAGGATATGGTGCAGGTCCCCTAGGGGGTGGGTGTGGGTTGTTGTGCGGTCCACGATTGCCATAACCAGATACTAAATAACCATAAGCAATGGAATCAATACTCGTCAATTATTTGAAATGAACAGGGTTCAGCAAAATCATGTGATTTGTAAGTGGCAAGCAGGTTGTTGGTTGATCAGTCTGACATTGTCAAATCAAATATTTTGATCAGACCAAAGTCAATAATTGAAGTATCGCTATGAGATCACAGTGTTTGTTCAGAGAGTAGTAACCGTGGCAGCTTAGGACAGCTGAATTTATTATTTTTTGACCAGAGTGTCCATGATGTAGAACATCATTTGCAGTAAAATCCAGTTAGATAATTTATTATCCAAATGAGCTTCGTATAGTACAAATAACGCGCGTGACGAGTACAAATACCACGCGATATTTGTACTCCAGAAATATCCGCGAAAGTTGCCAGCACTGAAATAACAATTTGGCTTGTTGGATCATAATTATCTTATTAAACGTTTTTTTGTGTAGTATCGCTGAGTATTTTTACTCGTTGTTTGTATTTTGACTCGCCCTACGGGCTCGTCAAAATACGGCACAACTCGTAAAAATACTCAGCGATACTACACAACAAAACGTCTAATAAGATA